TAACTTTCCTGCGTTGCACCCCAAAACTTCCATCTTCACTGCTCTCTTCACCTTTCCTCCAGACTCAGAGGAAGATGGGTCCTCTCCTTCCCAAGGCTGACCCTTCCTCCACCCCAGTCCCAGCAGCCACGCCTCCTCCAGGGTCTGCTCCATGAAGTACACCCTCTTTCGCTTCTTACACCTGTGTTTTTGGCTACACCTGTTTCGCCAAGCCCCGCGGTCCACTAGCTCTCTTCCTTCTGCCTCAAGACGCTCAGGAGCTTTTGATTTCCCATCATGAAGCGGGAAATAAGCCCCTTGGTCTCTGTTGTGCTAATCCTCTCCAAGCTTCTGATCGCTTTGCTCATTCCACCCACCCCCGAAATTCTCAAGAGCAGGGTGGACACCAACTGCCTCTGCTTTTTCACCTTCCACATATGAGAACCTCCCGCTTTGATCTGGTATCTGCCCCTGCTCTGCTCCCCACACTACTCTCTCAAAGGTCACAGGTGTTTCTGCCACTGTTTCCAAAGACCTCTTCTGATTCCCACCTGCTCTCTGCAGCATCAGACACTGTTGGCAACCTCCTCCTCCGTTAAATTCTCTCCTCGCTTGGCTTCCATGACAACCCTCCTCGCTCCCCTCCTCCCTCACTGACCAGTACTCATCTGTCTGTCCTACCCACGTTATTGCCAGATTGATCTATGGAAGCACAGCTCCAACAGCTCTCAATAAGCACTTCTCTGTTTGGAAACCTTCAATGGCTTACCATTGCCTTCAGGAAAAAAAAAATCATGGAGTTATAAAATGATGCAATTATCTGCAATACGTAATAAATAATGTAATAACATGTCAGGGGGGTCAAACTTTTTTAAGCAGCAGAATCTTAAGAAGAATCTTTCTCAGAAGCCCAATGTTTAAAGAGCATGAAACCATATGCTCTTTAAACATGGCTTCTATTGAAGCAGGGAACGGGAACCCCAGGATATTCTAGGGCTTTCAAACCACAATTGAAAAACCACTGAAAAAATTAAATTCCTCAGTCCACGGATGAGAAAACAGGCCCAAAGAGGAGAATTGATTGGTAGAAAGTGGCATGGGATATGAGTTAGTCAATCCACACATTTTCATTAAGTACCTACCAAGTGCCAGGCACGTTCCAGGTGCAATAAAGCCGAGGACAAGAGTAATGTGGTCCTGCCCTGGAGGGGCCAACAGCCCAGTGGGGAGCAAATCAAGTATTATAAACAACCATTGAAGTGGTCACAGGTACGGAAAGGAAAGTGAGAGAGCACATAGGAGGGGACTTGCCTGGTCTGCAGGGCAGAGTGGGCTACCCTGGGTAAACTGAGCCTTAGGACAGCTAAGGAGCTGGCCAGAAGAAATGGAAGAGCATTGGGGCAGATGGAACAGCTTAGGTGAAGGCTGAGGAAGCAATTTTGGTGGCTGGAATGTCTGGAAAGCCCAGGGGCTCCTACTCAAAACCCTGGAGCAGAGTGAGACAGGGCTGCAGAAGCAGGCAGCCCCCCTGACCTTGCAGAGGACCTGACCCTGGCCCCAGAGGCTGGCAGGCCAAGGAAGGGTTCTCAGGCATTGGGACCTAATCATTTGCATTAGAAGACAATCCACTGCTAAATGCAATGGGGTGTTATGGACTGGATCCTGGAACACAAATAGACATTAGTGGAAGAACAAGAAACCTGAATAAATCTGTAATTCAGTTAATAGTATTGTACCAATGCTGATTTCTTAGTTTTGACAAAGGTACCACGGTTATGTAAAACACTATTAGGGGAAGCTGGAGGAAGGGCATATGGAACCTCTGTGCCATTTTTGCAACTCTTCTGTAAATCCTAAGCTATTTCAAAATTTTAAAAAGGGTTTTAAAATACATATATCCCTCTGGCACTGTGGCAGAGAGGAGCAAAGCTGGATGCAAGGTGAGAGATTATAGTAATAATGATGACTAACACTTAAACAGTTCTGCCTGTACACCAGGCATTGTTCCAAGCACTTAATGTGTTCAATTCATTTAATCCTCACAACTCCATGAGGTAAGTACTTTATTTCCTCTCATTTTACAGATGAGAAAGCTGAGCACAGAGAGGTTAAGTCAGTGGCCCAAGGACACACAGTTACTGAGTGCCACAGCTAGGGGCGGGGGTTAAGGATTCAAATCCTGGCAGTCTAGCTCCAGAGTCCCGAGTGCTTGACCACTACATTGTGCTCCCTCCCCAGTGTGCACTAGCTACACTGCCTAAGGATCAGGCAGAAATCATGAGCGCAAGGACGAGGGTGATAACAGCAGAAATGGAGCGATGTCAATCACTAGACTTAAGACATATATTAGATGCAGATGCAACAGTTACTTTTGAATGGAATATGGTGGTTGAAAAAGAGGAAAGAAGCAAAAATGACTCTTGGGCTTCCTTCCACCTTAGAGGTAGGGACCAGAACTTAGTCTCCTGTGCTTCTTTCTGCCACTGAGGGAAACATTCCAGACCTTTCTCAATCTGGTTGCACCTACCTGTCCCTTTCTCTTCTAATCTTCAAAATGCAGAACAAACTGGACCTCCTGCTGTTCCCAAATAGGCCCCCGACCTCTCCCATCTCCATGTCCTTGTATGAGCTGTTCCCTCCACCGAAATGCTCTCCTCCATTTCCCTTGGTCCAAATCTAATCCAGTCTTCAGGGCCACCTCTTCCAGAAGCCTTCACCCACTCTCTCCTCTAGATGCCAGCATTTTTTGGCCTCCATACTATAATATAGTTATCTGAATAGAGTCTTGGCTCTTCCTCACTTTGGTATCTTCAGTACATAGCATAGTAGGTGCTCAAAAAGATATTTGTTCAGTGAATCATCTGTCTGAGTAAACAAGTTCTATCTTATTCCCCTTTGCCTCTTCCTGGTTCCCTTTTGTCTCCTGCAATCCACTACATGCTTACACTTACACACACGCAAACCACCTGGCACCCGTGTTGGCGCTTTGCATGTTTCAGGGGCCTGTTTAAAGATGACTGAACAACCACACTATCTCATTTACCTTCCTCTATCTTCTCCACCCAACCCAACCCCAGGCAGCCATGCCAATCCCTAGACACACTCTCTGGAAGCCCACTTAAGAGCAGAAGATCAAAGAAAACTTGCCCAAGGATGGAGAGGTGGGAGAACTTGAGCAGGGAACCCGTGGGCACTGGTGCAACTGGAATTGCCCCCTCAACCCATCCATTCAGCTCCTACAACGTAGTCCTGCCCTGGAGGAGCGGACAGCCAGTGGGGAATGAATCAAATATTCAGAGGCAGAGTCTGAGGCCACCACAGTGAGCTCAGTCCAGCCCTGGTCCTTAAAATATTTAGGGCCAGACTGGACTACCACAAACCAAATGGATAAGGCATTCACTAGTGTAAAACCCTCCTCCTAGTGGCTGCCCAGCATTCACTGCAGGTCTCTTCTTTACCCAAGCCTTAGGCTCAGGCTACAGCTACCTTAAATTCAGTCTCCCTAATCCTCTCCCCTCCAGTACATGCCTTTGTCTAATAGATGACCACTCAGCCCCTGTGTCCCTTTCCCCCAGAAGCCTTGCCTGGCTGAACTGGGCACTTCCTCCAAGATCCACCAAATCTTGTATGTGCATCTCTGGGACACACCACACACCTTAAGTGCTTGTTTATAACATCAGTTTCTGTCCACCTTCCCCCACTGGCCCCTAACTAGACTGAGTGCCCTTAGGGCACTGACACTGTCTCTGCATCCCCAAGCCTGGCGTGGTATTTGGTAGAAAGACCGATTGCATCTGCTATGTGTAAAAGATGCACACGAGTGGGAGTGTTCATGTGAGCGTTCATGTGAGCACTGAATTAGACTACGGACTTTAGCAGGAAACCAAGAGACACTCCAGGGCTAGATCCCAAATAGTGGGAAAGTGGTGCTCTCTTGCCCATACTCCTGCTCTTCTTCTCCCAGAAACTAGAATTTACATTGTATCAGGAACTGGCCACTTCCCCTCTGCTCTTGCCAGCTGGGCAAAGGGCAGCAATGGGCAAAGGGAGCATTGTCTGGTCAGGCGTCTGAGAATTTGCTTCGCCTCAGTGGGAAACTCTATCTATCTGCCTGTCTCCTCCTGGGGGAGGGGACGGGGTCCAGCGGGAAGGAGTAGAGGCAGGCTTCGGGTTGGGCTGCCAAGGGCCAGGAGGACCCAGACGCCTTGGCAGGAAGCCAGCCGCACCCGGATGTGGCGGGTGGTGAACGGGATGGGGCGGAGAGTTCTTGCCTTGCCACGGACACTGACTGGATGGGCCACTTTCGCGGGAATCCCGCAAGTCACTTAAAACAGAGGTCCCGCAAAGGGGGTAGAGCTCAGTTTAGCGCTCTGTTTGGAGATGGGTGGGGGGCTTCGGGTTTTGGAAAAGGAACTCCTGTAGGGAGCGAAGGATTAGAAAAGACCAGAAATCGCCGTGGCCCATCACACTCGCTAATGCCCACCACCGGCTTCTCTGGCAGCTTCCGGAGGGTCCCCGCATAGCTGCCTCTCCATTTAGCGTTCACAGGAGGGAGCTCTGGCTACTGGGTTCTAGTCCGAGCCCTGTCACTTTCTGCTCTTGGACCCTTGGGCGACTCGCCTTACTCTTCTTTGGACCTTTGGTTCCTCATCTGTAAAATGAGGCCAGGGTTGGAGGAGAGGGCCTGTAGAAGCCCTTTCGGCCCGGACACTGCTAGATCCCGTATTCTCCATACTGCACGCCCGCTCCTCCACAGCCCCGCCTCCACCGCGTCTTAACTCCACCCCCGCCGAGCAGCTTCTCCCCCAACGCCGGCCGCTAGGGGTCACTGCCTCCCTTTGTCAGCGCAGAGGAGGCCGGCTAGCCCTCCCGCCCTCTGCCCGGCTGAAAGGCGGTCGAAGGGGCATCTCCCGAGCCAGCGGGCCGGAGCGGGACCCCACGGCCCTCGCCGGGGACCCGCCTCTATCTCGGGCCGGAAGGTGTGTGCGGCGGGGC